AAAGGTTTCCCCATTTAGCATTGTCTTTAAATCTAAAACTTATTGTGAGTGAAGATCTTACTGTGGAAACACTTTTCATCAAGCTTAAAGGCCTGCTTAGCTTCACCTGTATTAATACTAGCAGTATTCATAATAACTATACATTCCTTTACACTTTTAGGAATTCCATTATGCAATTTTCATGTTAAAACCATCTGAATTGAAATCCTAAAATAATTTATTTATATTTCACGTTTTATGCAAAATTTAATGTTTGTTAAAGTATGGCTACAACATGCAAGACGTTTCCCCCCAAAATAAGTAATGAGCAAAGGACACGTGCAAACTTCATACATTTCATCACAGAAGATATAATAATGGACTTTTTGTACCCCATTTAATATTGCAAACACCTAATATTACGGATACTAAGAATATTCTAAATAGATTTCACTTGTTATATATATCAAAACTATATTTGCAAACATCTTTTGATTTAGAAATTTCAAGACATTCTTTAGAAATTTCAAAACACTTTTAACTCAGAGTAATTGCCAAACAGGCTCATTTCCATTGTAGAACTGATGGCAATGCAAAAGCTGATTTCCTCACACAAAAAAAAAAAAAAAAAAAAAAAAAAAAAAAAAAAAAAAAAACTTACTGTAGTGCATTAGATATAACTTTCTAAAGCTTTTGATGAATTTAATTTGTAGATTTTTCAGAGTCAATTCAGGCGTGTTAATCGAAGAGCTTGGGCCCACCAGCAGCCGAGTGGTAAAGCCGCTGAACACTGGTAGTTCGGTCCGAGTTTCAAATCCCACGAACAGCATGGGTGTTTTCGTGGTTTTCCCCATGTGTAATGTGTATACGAGCCAGTTCCCTTAGAAAGTCCTCCACAAAGGCATTTCTCCCCTTAGGCAGATAGCCCTCGAGGCTGTGCCATAATCACACAATCGATGAACTTGGAATGCTGTTCTAACAAATCTACCTGTGATCCCAGCTTCTTAAAAATATATAGTTGTCACAAAATTCAAAATTTGGCAGGTCATGAATTTAAAGATTAAAATAAATCAAAAAGGCTTAGACTGATGCAAGAATTTGTATAATTCTTATTAATTTTGAGTGTTATCTGATATATGTTCTTCAAAAATCCAGGAATAAAAACCTTTTTTCATTTTTACTGAAGAAGAGGGACCTATGTCAGTTATTTCTTAAAACTGACACAAGATGTTATGTTAAACTGCTATTTTTGCCTTACTTTAATTTTACACATTTTTGCCAGTTAAGTATGATATACTTTTATCTGCTCTTGAATGTCAGAAACATTAATTTTTCTAAACTATGGGTTGTATAAAAATAAAGTGCTTTGGAAGTAGATTTAAGTAAAATAAGTACGTTTCACAGAAGACTTATAAGTATTACAGAAATATGAATTCTAATTGTCTTAAAAGCCCCATGTGTAACTTTAAAATACATAATTACAAATGTTTGATATGTGCATATTTGTTTATATGGTTATCTGTCCCCATACTGCTTGCTAGAGTACTCTAGCTGATGTGTTGTGTAATATCTACATGACACATAACAATTTCGCTGGCATGTCTGTTTCCACAGCCACAGTAATCTTGTTTGCAGATCAGACATAATATTGGGTACAAATGCTTTGTTTTTCATTCACCATTTTATAGAGATCATCAGACCAGATAAGCTAAGCAAAAAGTGTCCAATATAGTTATTATATAAACCTAACTATTAGTGTTCAGAAGTCTTACCATTCATGGGCTCTTTTTCAGATGATTATGATAATGACAATTTTTCTAAAAATCTATTTGTTAGATGCATTAATCCTTCGCACATCCTTGTTTCCTAATATATTTATGTACATTTCTTATGTGTTGAAATTGGGAAAGAATTCCAGATTTTATTAGATAAAAAAAAAAACAATTTAATAAAATTTCATATTAACCTTTTCAAAAATACAGTATATTTCAGATTTTTACCATCAATTTATCCAGTGCGTTACATTTCTTAAAAATGCAATGTATTTTAGAAAAAGTTCAATCAAATAATAATTTGTTAGTATTTAGGAATCTTCTAATATATATATATATAAAACTATGTGGTTTTGTTGTCTAAATTTGGGTACCTAAGAAAAGAAAAAAAGAAAGAAGAAAGCAACACATCTGCATAAGACAATTTGAGAAAGCCTTTCTCATCTGCATTTTTTACTTGGTTATCAAAAAATAAATTCTTTCTGTAATTTTTAGTACTACAAAATAAAGTGAAATGACCGATTTAGCATACAGTTTTTCTGATACAACACCGTACACCTTTTTTTGCGGGGACAGGCTAGAAATTTTATTACACATTTCACGTGAGAATCCACCGAATTTGCCGTATTCACTCCATTGTCTTTTATAGAAATAAAAGTTAGAAAACTATTATAAATTGATGCGAAAAAAACGTCATCAAAAGATACGAAAAGAGGAATATGAGCGGAAAATAAATCCAAAACAAAACCTTCAATTGCTGGCATAAAAATTGGTCGCCAAAACAGTCTCCGGCAGTGGCTTATTCTGATTGGTTGAATTTCTTCAGTTCCCGGCGGGTTTTAGCCGCCGTTGGGAAAAGGGGGCAGTGGAGGATCATAGTCAGAGATAACCAGTTAGAAAATGACGTAGTTTTTAAGTTTTACCAAAAGAGAAAAATCCAAAATGGCTATTCACCATTTGTCTGGCGCATAATAACCTTCAAGGTTTTGTGCCATTAAAAGTCAACCAACCAAAATAGCTAAATGACTATGTCTTTTAACTCTATCTGGCTCGAAAGCGGGGGAAATATGAAAAATTTTGTTTGTAAGAGTCGTCATTCTTCACGCAGTTGAGCTATAAATACGTCTTTAAGAAATGAAATAAGCCTTTTTGTTTATTAACATGAAAGTTGGGCCAGTAAATCTTTAGAATACATAGACAGTATCATTCAGATCTTAAAAGCTAAATTCAAAGAGAATAGAAAAATTACATTACATATTTACATAAAATTACCTGTGTGAGTCATCCAGTAGTTACCTCCTTTGCAGGTTTAGGTAAAAAATTACGGTAAATGCCAGCTTTTTTCAAGATATGTGAATTTATGAAGTTGGCAATTTGATTTTCTAATATAAAATATTGTATTTCTTCCTGAAGTAAGTTATTGTTACTGCAAATTCTTTTTATTCTAAGTAGTTGGGTATTAGTTGTATTAATAACAACTCTTTGAGAGGTGTTAGAATTCCAATTGGTGAGTTTTAGAGTGTGAAACTTGAAATCTCTTCTTTTATCATAAATTTTTAAATTTTGTTAATTTAGTATATGTAGTTCATGGTATATGATGTCTTTTTGCTGTGGGCTAGCATTGTTAAGGCAAGTAGGATAGATATTGGAGTGCTCAATTTGATTAAGGTTATTTATAACTTAATGTCATCAATATACCTGTAAACGTGTTTAAAATATTTATGCTATTCTAAATCAAGTGATAATTCAAATTTGTATTCTTGTGTGAAAAGGAAGAAATTACAGACCTCTGAAGAACTACTAGAAACCATAAGTGTAAAGATTTTCAAAATCGTGAAAGTTAATATTATCAATATCGAGAGCTTGTAAAGCATCTATAACAGTTTCATTATTGTTAATTATCCAGTTGAATTGGTGGTTTTGAAAATTGAAATTCTTATTTGAAATTGAATGAAAATTGAAATTATTATATACATATATACAGTCAAAAGTCGTTAATTCGGACTCGTCGGGACTTCGGCGATTCCGGATTATCGATTTTTCCGGATTATAGATCATCAGTTTAAATCTCGTAAGATGGCATGCAGAAATTCTAAAATTAAAATATGAAACCGTAATTTATGAAATAAAGAACAAATTATGATCTAAAGGGTATCAAATTTGCAAAAAGAAAAAGCTTAATATTTATTTGTTTACTTTATTAAACATTTCTTTCAATGTAAGTTGTTTAAGTTTTGCTTCGTTTCATGTGATAATACTTTCTCTTTAATTCTATTAAACAGACATAATTTCTTGTTCAGTTACAAAGTTCCGCCGTTCAAGTCCTATAATTGCTGTGTCAAGAACACCGACTAATTTGTCAATCGAAATTTTTTTGTTTTCAATAACCTCTGTCACTTTTCTTCGCTATCGGAAGCGAATTATAATGACGAGGAACTTGTTTTAAATCATATCAAAGACGGAGCATATCGAGATGAAATACTACATTTGGTAAGAAATTATAAGGCAAATAAAATAAAACCATCTGCGCTGAAGATAGGATAGTGCTGACAAATCAACTTCCAATTCATTAGGCGCCCGCCGCCGAGCATCGTGAAATTGATAAACAGATTTCGGATTTCAAAACATACTTTCGCTTTAGATTCTTTACATATTAACAAATATATATCGAAAATTCTATTTGATATAATCGAAAGTTTAAGCTTACTTTTATAAAATTGCTCTTACAGTCTGCAAAAAATAATAAGCCGGATGCAATTCGAAAATTAAGGAACAACACAATCATCAACATTAACTGAAATAGATAATTAGATAATTTTAGCTTATACGTCCATTATACATAAAATGCGCACGCGAAAACGTATTCTGCACTTGCGCACACTCATATGCGCAGTCGTAAAAGGTCTTACGCGCACGCGTGAACGCCTCTGCGCATGTGTCAACATGGCGCATGCGCAGAAAGTTTTTAGTTTTGATGTCCGGATTATAGATCATTTCGAATTATGGGTGTCCGAATTAACGACTTTTGACTGTATTGTATAAGACTGTCTTAAGATTAGTTTATGAACATAAGCATTTTGAATAAATGAGCTTAGACTCTAAAATCTATAATATTAATAGCTTAGACTCTAAAATCGTTCTTTGTTACACTATTAATAGCTTAGACTCTAAAATCGTTCTTTGTTTCAATGTTTATTATATACTGTCAATAAATTATGTTTTAAATTCTTTACTGATTTATATTTTTAGACTGTATATGTTTCCATGTCCATCCAAACACAATGTGCATCAGGATTGGAACCGCCTGGAGAAAACATAGAAACTCCTGTAAAAGTTTTAGACTGTGATACTATCCTCCAAGTAAAAGAAAAAGCATTAGATACTATTTATAAAAGCACTCCATTTACTCAAAGGCCAAGCAAAGAAGATCTTGATTTAGGTTAATATTTCTAATTAATAATTTATATTTTTCAAAAATAGGGCCATAACTTTTCCATGATGACACTTTTTCAAAAAGTCAGGTCATTGTAAGATAAATTTTGATTACCTTTAATGGAATGATTTATTTAAAAAGCACTTTATTTTTATTTGTTATGCTTATCAAAGAATTATATTTTATTTATTTTTTAAATTTATGACAGAAGTGAATTATTTTATATTTCACTTAAAAGATCAATTTTCTCATTTAATATATTTATAGAATAATAGTAAATTTCTCATTTAATGTATTTATAGAATTTTTGTACATAATTATATGTATTAAAGAGGATGTGTGACATAAAGTACTTGTAGTATGAGTAATGCATATGTTCTGAAAATAAATTGTGGCGTATACATGTATTTTTATAATTTTTTGCATGAAATTTATTTTTCCAAAATGTATATGAATATTAATTGTATTCTTAGCACATCCACCTTTTTTATGGCTGACATCAGATTCAAACATTACTTAAAGTATGTTTTAATTAACAGTAATAAATAAATAAATATGCATAAATTAATATAAAATATTTATGTAATGAAAAAACATTTAATTCTTAAAACCTATAATACTTTTTTAAGTAAGATTCTCCCATTTTTCAATCCCCAATATTGTGTGTAGTGCATCCCTACTTGACTAAATGCTTCTGTAGACTTCACTTTCACAACTTAATTACATAATGATGATGGTATTTATATTAAAAGTGAAGTGCAACTAAAAATATGCACATCAAGTTTTCTAAAAGTGTATTATATACAGTAATATTCATTTTCAAACTCCTAATAATGAATATATACTCCTAATAAGCATAATAAAACTATTTTATGCCCTTTTGATTGGAAACAATATAGCTACTCGTAAGTAAATCATAAGTGTAATGTTATTCTTTCGTTCTTTCCCCTGGTCTGAAATTATTAAGATACGTATATGTTCTGCTCTATATTTGATCTTCTGGGTATGTAATCCATTACATTAATGTATAGATCTATTCAATAACACATGCTTATTTTGATAACTATGTTGCTCAATGACAAGACTATTTGTGCTATGAAACTGTCAGTAGAGTTTTCTGTCATTACTCCTTTCAAAGATTAGAATAAATGTATATATTATGTGATATCAAGGCAATACATAGTGCATAAGTGCTAAATGGTAATTTTTTGCTTAAAAAAATTGCAATATTTACTCTTACATTTCTTGAATTCAGTCAGAAAGCATGAAAATAATTATACTAATGTCTATTCAAAAACAATTGTTCTAGGAAATTAACAACTGTTGTGTTTTAGGTGTTACAAATATACACTACCTTGAATTCCAAAAATTGGTAAAGCCTTTTGTGTTATTTTTGACAGAAAAGAGTAGTTCATTCTAATAGGGAAATAAAAGGTCTCTCTCTTTATTAATCTCCTAGTTCCTTTTTTGCATGACGACTAGTAATAACTGATTTTACATTTACTGTTTGTAAATTGCCACTTATGAAGGAAAAAAAATATACTATATTATTCTCGTTTAATTTTTAAAAAAAATCTGCTAAAACGTTGAGGTTGAAAGAAAAATATGGAATATTATTCTGGTTTAATTTGACATAAGCTTTCTGCTGTAAGGCCCTAAAATTTTTGTTCTTAAGTTACTGATTTTTACTTTCTTATAGAGTGGAGGACTGGAACGTCTGGCCGTCTTACATTGTCAGATGAAGATGCTACTACAAAACAAGATGGAGAATGGAAAAGGCTCAATACTCTTGCTCATTATAAGGTATATTCATTGTGGTTATTTTCTGTTGAAGAAAACAACTAATTTTTTTATGTTACTAAGCTACGCATTTGCAAAAGCAAATTGCTGACAGGAGAGAAAATAGTATCAGTTTTAAAATATGTACGTTTTTACACATGCAGGATAAAAAAATTTATTAAAATTTTTTGCTTTCTAAGGAACTGAGTGAATGTTTTTTGATCGATAAGTATGTGGTGAAAATTGTGCTATTTCACTGTATCGTGTAGAAATAAAAATCTGTTTTAAGAGAAACATGCCAGTATAAAATGTTAAATTAGATTGGCATAGATTTTAGAATGTGCCATCTAAGATTGATTTTTTTGGCCTAGTTTAAAAAATTGCACTATTATTTAACTATTACTGTGCATATAATCACATCACATAATATGAGATTTAAAGTGTTGTAGTGTAATTTCAGATATATAGTTATATAACTCAAACAGGTCTCAAAGGGTCAATGAAACTAATTTGTGTTTAACATTTTCTCAGAGTTTTGACCAAAATGTTTTTAATGAATTTATTTATTTTATTCAAGTGTCTTGATTATTTATCTATATATATTAACACAATAATGCTATCAGCGTGCTGCTATATTCACATGATCCTGATGGAATGTTTTCATTAAAACATTTCTCAAATTTCTAATATTTTTGCATATTTTGCTTATCTTCAGAAAATAAATCACCTTGTTTTTCTAAATTAACAATTTGTCAAGTATCAAAAAGTAGATATTTTTGCATGCATAATCATTGCATTTAAAAATATGCATACATGTAATTTAAACCACTAAAACAGTGAGTATTGTGTGTATTTGTAATATAAAAAAAGGCTTTTGTAATATGATTTTTGCATTGACACATAATAGGTGGAATTTCTAGAAATAAGATGTGTATAGAATTTTTTTTTTTTCTTAGAAAAAGGAATGATAAATTTGTTTAAATATTGATTACTTTTTGAGATAGTATATGTATTTACTATCTCAAAAATAACAAGACTGATAGTACGGTACAGGAATTCTCAACCGGGGGGGTGTCAGTTTTTATTTAACTGTTAAGTACCATATTTGACGGCATATAAGACGCACGTTTTTCCCTAAATTTGGTCTCAAAAAAGTTACCTGCATCTTATACGTGAAGGACACAGGTTAACTTTCCATACTGAATGCTATTTTTAGCCCGGATAAAGGTCGAGACACACAACTTTTTCTACATCTGTCAAAATTATTTTGTGCGTGGGTGAAATATCTGTTGCCAAAAAGCGCCAAAGCTCGAAGCTGATGTCGAAGTTCGAACAGGTTCGATGGTCACATTATGTCTATGGAGCCTTTCATTCTTTACGTAGACTTTCTTTGACTCGGCCGACACACGCGTCGGTATTGGTGCTACTCTGTATAAACGTGTCGGTATCGGTGCTTAAAACTATGTGTTTTAAAAAAATACCCTGGAAAATATGACTACAGGAAACAAGAGATTAAGCTATACAATTCAGTATAAACTAGGAGTGTTAAACTACACCAAAGTGCATGGAAACCGAGCAGCAGCAAGGCATTTCGGTTCACCACCTACCGAAAAAATGATACGTACTTGGTGGCTGCAGGAAGATCTGCTAAAAAACAAAAACATAACCTTTGATGTACAGCTCCATCTTGGCCTGAACTTGAAAATGCTGTAAAAATGTGGGTGATAGATAAAAGGAAATCTGGGATAAGTGTTTCAACCAAAATGATAATGAGGCCAAAGGATTTGCAGAAAAACATGAGAATCAGAACTTTCCAGGGTTTGAGGGCTGGTGCTACAGGTTCATGAAAAGAGAAGGCTTATCAATGCGCACAAAAACAACTATTGCACAGAAAATGCCAGAAGATTATGAAGAAAAATTACTAGCATTTCATTGGTTTGTTATAAATGCACACAAGAAAACTTCTTTTAAGCTCGGTCAAATAGGAAATATGGATGAAATTCCACTCACATTTCATGTACCACCCAACAAGATTGTGAGTATTAAAGGGTCTAAATCAATAACCATAAAAACCACAGGTCACGAAAAAACCCGATATATGGTAGTTCTAACATGTTGTGCTGATGGAACAAAACTACCACCGTTTTTCATATTCGAAAGGTTAAAAAGTCCTCCACGAAGGCATCCCTCCCCTTAGGCAGATAGCCCTAGTGTGCTTTGTTGTAATTAAATAAACCAAACCAAACCATATTCGAAAGAAAAACTTCCAACGGGTGTAATTGTTCATGTTCATCCGAAAGGCTGGATGGACGAAGCTGGAATGAAACTGTGGTTACAGAACGTATGGGCGAGGTGACCTCGTGGAATCTTAAGAAAACCCTTTCTTTCGGTTTTGGATCAGTTTAGTGCCCATAGAACTGAAACCATAAAGTATAAAGCAAGAGAATTAAAAACCCAGATAGCTGTCATTCCTGGTGGCCTGACTAGCCAATTGCAGCCTTTAGATGTATCGGTGAATAAGCCATTTAAGGAAAAAGTGCGAGAACAATGGAACAAGTGGATAGGAGAGCCACATCATGCCCTGACACCCTCAGGTAGAATAAAGCGGCCCTCTATTTCACAAGTGTGCGAGTGGGTAAAAAGATCTTGGACGTAGAGGCTGAAGTAATTGTTAAGACCCTTAAGAAGTGCGGAATCAGTAATGCTCTTGACGGAACAGAAGAACAGAAGATGATGCATTATTCGAAGAAGGTGGTACTAGCGATGATGGAAACAGTAGTTATGGCGATATTCTCGTTTTCGATGATGGTGATAGTGAAACGGATTTTTATGATTTTGAAAGTGATTTAAAGTCTAATTTCTTGATGGGCAATGTTTTCCTTGAATCTGTGTTTTTTGTTGTTGCTTTATTTTGTATTATGTTTGATTGCTTGCCATTCATTTATTTATTCAGTATTGAAATTTACATATCATTTTCAAAATAGCTTGCCGTTTGTTTATTTGGCTTTTATGAAACATGAGAACTAAAAGAAACCACATTTTAAGTTATTGTGGTACTGCGCTATCGCACGAACTATTCAAACTTTTTTTTCTTTGTGTGTGGGCCTTCTAAATAAGGGTGCGTCTTATATGCCGTCAAATACGGTATTTAGTTTTAAGTTTATGAATAAAAAAAAAATATTCACGTTTTGGTATTTTTAACATTTTCTGTAATTTTTCTCGTTTTTAATTTGTGAAACACTTTTAAAAAATACATCTACAAATGGTGAAAGGGGGCATGAGGCAAAGCCACTGGTATAGAGGAATTCAGAGGTATCATGCAGTTTGTGCAAGCAAGTATGCAATTATTCTTTCCTGGAATAACATAAAGTATTGTAATTGTACCTGAAAAAAAATTCTTTTTACAATAACCTTGTAGACTAGATTTGAATAATTATTAGTTTTTCTTTTAAAGGTTCCAGATGGTGCTCTTTTGACTCTGGTGCCAAAGCAGTCGTCCATGTACAACCTCTCCATTATGACTGATAAAAATGATAGGCATAAATATGGTAAGGTATTTTTAGTATTTTTTCTAATTGTATGTGAATAGTGTAAAGATCAAACATCATAGTGTTCTTATGAACAATTAAATGTCTTACCCATAAAAAAGTTGCTTCTTTTTAAAGTAATTGTATTAAATTTCATTTATTGATTTAAAGTGTAATGAAATCATTTTCCTTTCTCTTTTTTATGATTTCATAGTTTATGACCTTTTTAGAGATTTAGCGCACAAGCAAATATTAAGATGTTTAAAAACTGTTGCATTTTAAAATCCAGTGCTTTATTTTGGTTGTGAATTTAATTACGTTATTGACTTATTTGGTTTTCAGTTTTCACAACCAGTTTAACTTTATTCCACAGATTCTTCAGCTTTAAATAATTTAGGCAACTCGATATTCTTCTAATGTGATAATAGACTGCTTTGCATGAGTTCTCTTTTATTTGCTTTTCAAGTGCTAATAATTTGTCTTGTTTTAGAAACACTTAATTTCTCTTTGAAAACAAGTCCCACTCTTAGTCGTGCCACTTCACCTTTAAATCATGATCCAGAGTCAGGCTACAAATATTGGCATTTGGTAAGCACTTTTCGCTGTATTTAAATATGCATACTGATGCTGTATTATGCTTTCTTCAAATAAAGGTTTTTTTGGTCATAAAAGGTTTAAGCCAGGCTTCGTTCCTATGAAACCAGACCTTGCTAAATCACAAAAAGTGATTTAAGGATTTTGCCTAAATGTTTTAACTTGTTGACTTTATGCAGACTGACAAGAACTAACCAATCATGGTGAAACAAACACAAACTGTCATTCTTTCAACAGTTTCACTGAGTCAGTCGAATGCACAACTTCACCTTATGAGACCAGTCCTGTGCTACACAGGTATAAACAGGGTTATTGATTTTAATGCCTTAAGTGACGAAGCTTTATGACTGAAAAGCCCTGGTCTGAAAAAGAGCCTTAAATCTAATACTTGAAAAGTAATATTAATAAAAAATCAGTTATTTAAATTTTCTTTTCTTCTTTCAGGTAAAACATCATGATGCGGAAACAAACAAAGAAGGTGAAAGAGGTAATAAAATGGTATCTGAAATCTATCTGACACGTCTTTTAGCAACAAAGGTAAAATTAATTTTTTTATATAAAGCTTGAGTTACATCTTTTTACATTCCAGAAATTTGCAAATATTGTATATGAGTAAAACATTTAAATTTTTCAAAATATATAACTTTTATCTTTTTTTTTTTTCTTAGGGTACTTTACAGAAATTTGTGGATGATTTATTTGAAACAATTTTCTCAACTGCACACAGGGGTAGCGCTTTACCTCTTGCAATAAAATATATGTTCGATTTTTTGGATGATCAAGCTCTAAATCATGCTATTTCAGATCCAGAAGTCGTTCATACTTGGAAGTCTAATAGGTAATGTTGTTAGAAACATTTTAATGGAAAGTAGTTCTTTTTTTGGGGGGAATAAGAATTATTATTATTTTCGTAATTAGAATGTGCTATAAATATTATTGCTTTGCTTGTCAATTAAGTTATAAATATATAAATGTCCTGTAATTCTTTCTTGTCTTCAAATTTAAGAGAGCAGTTTACAAATTAATGTGAAAAGAATAAACCTTCCATTAAAATTTCTGTTATGGGGAGTAACAAATGATCACAGAATTTGAAAACTAACAGTAAGTGGGAAGGGCATTGTATCAGCATGTTGAAATATCAGTTGTAAGATGGATGTACTAATGAAAACGTTGACTGAATCTTTAAATGACTATGATAAGATTTTTGTATCTAAAGCAAACTTCAATTAGCAGAAATTTATTATCAAATTGTTGTAATGTATGCTGTTAAATGTCACCATAAACCTGTTTTTTGAATGCACTAAGTTTGATAAAAGCAAGACACACATACAATATAAGCAACAGTTTGGTCTGCCACTGATGGCAGTGTTTGAGTTCTTAAAGATGTAATTCAAGACAACATACTTGTCTTAGAGGTACAGTCAAAAGTCGATAATCCGGACTCGTCGGGACTTTGGCGATTCCGGATTATAGATCATCACTTTAAATCTGGTAAGATGGCATGCAGAAATTATAAAATTAAAAATATGAAACCGTAATTTATGAAATAAAGAACAATTATGATCTAAAGGGTATCAAAATTTACAAAAAAAAAAAAGCTTAATATTTATTTGTTTACTTTATTAAACATTTCTTTTAATGTAAGTTGTTTAAGTTGCTTCATTTTATGTGATAATACTTTCTCTTTAATTCTATAAACAGACATAATTTCTTGTTCAGTTACAAAGTTCTGCTGTTCAAGTCCCGTAATTGCTGTGCCAAGAATACCGACTAACTTGTCAATCGAAATTCTTTCGTTTTCAATAACCTCTGTGTCACTTTCTTCACTATCGAAAGCGAATTATAATGATGAGGAATTTGATTTAAATCATATCAAAGAAGGAGTACATTGAGATGAAATACTATATTTAGTAAGGAATTATAAGCCAAATAAAATAAAAACATCTAGCCTGAAGATAAGGATAGTGTTGACAGATCAACTTCCAATTCATTGCGTGCGGCGGCGTCTTCCCCCCCCCCGCGCCGCTGATCAGCGAGAAATTAATAAACAGATTTCGGAATAGTCAGAGAAACGAAGGATATGCCTTTATCCATTTTTTGCAGCAATTCCACTTTTTGTTTAATGGACTTCGAAACATACGTTTGCTTTGTAGATTCTTTACATATTAGTAAATATATATTGGAAATTCTATTTGACGTAATCGAAAGTTCAAGCTTACTTTTATAAAATTGCTCTAACAGTCTGCAAAAAATAATAAGCCGGATTCAATTCGAAGATTAAGGAACAACGCGATATGCAACATTAACTGAATTAGATAATTTTAGCTTAGCTTATACCATCTGTTATACATTAAACGCACATGCGTAAACGTATTATGCGCATGCGCACACGCATATTCGCAGCTGTAAAGGTCTTACGCACATGCGTCGCGCAGAAAGTTTGTAGCTTTGAGGTCCAGATTATGGGTGTCCGAGTTAAGGACTTTTGACTGTATATGAATGTGAAAAAATTTATTTTATTTAAAACATTTTGGCGTTTAAAACATAAAATAAAAGTAGCGAATACTCTATCAAGGGTATCGAAAGACGTATACAATTTTAAAGGTACCGTAAGGTATTTTTCATTTTTTAAGCGTAATATTTTTGTTAAAATTTATATTTTTGTAGTTCAACAGCTTAGAATTTTATAAAACAAATTCATAATCAAAATCGCTGTTGTTAGTTATCGAAAAATAACCAAGATGTGATTTTTGCGTAAATGTCACTAAACTATACAAATTGCTATTATCCATCACACTATGAATGTTTCTTTCATGCGAAAGTGTCCCTTTTTCGATTTGTATGGAACTGTCGTATGTTGAAATACTATCAGAATACCGTCAAGCGAGCTTCTGAATGTAAACAAAGAACACCCCATCTGGTGACCGAAGCTTCGAAGCGGTGCTTCACTTCTAGTGCCGATTGGCCACTCCTTCCTTTCTTACCTCCATGTGCAGCTGCACAAGGAGCATATCTGGAACAAAGATGGGAATTGGTGCTGAGGACACTCCATGATTTAGTACAGGAAGAGTGAGCAGATATTGTATGAAAGTACTGTCTGAAGATTGTCTTAATCTCCAGTTTTGAAGAATGAAAGGCCAAATTTCTATTTGGTTTCTTAATTAAACTGCAACCCCCCCCCTTTTTTTTTTTTTTAAATCCACTTTCTCATTTCCCTCAACACCACAGTGGGAGGGTACCCACTGGAAAGATGCTTTATCTCAGGTGGAGATCTACAATGCTGGATGTGAGGGTTTTTATACTTTTAATCCTGATAAAGCCTGAAAAGCAGATTTTCAATCAAAAAGGACCACAGCCCTTTCAAAGGAATTTTGGCAAATGGAAAGTTACTGAAGAGTTACATAGATTGATTTCATTTCACCATCAAAATGGATCATGAATTTTCCAATTAGTAAATAAAAACAAAAAGTTCATAAAAATAACAGCTTCATCGCCTTGAATTAAGTCCAGAAAGGCACCATCCGTATAGATGTGAAGACGTTCATAAGTAGGTTAGCAGTTGTGGATAGTTTCCAGAGTAATTGCATTGAGTGCTTCAGGATAGCAGTGCGACTTCTTATTCAAGGTCCATGCAGTTCAAGTGGTTAACAAGAGAGAATAATTCAATAGGTGTACTGTTAATTACATTAGAACAGTCAATATCATGTACAGATTGGATAAAACGCCTTTGACTTTTCAGGTTATATTTTTGATTGTGATTCTAGTCTCGCCAAAAAGAGGTATCAGGAAGCATAATTAACCTGTTATAACAAATAGTTGAATCTTTTTTAATCACATTAATTAAAGGTTGGTTTTTAGTCAATGGCTGCATCACCAACACAAGGGTGGTCTTGAACCCTCCAGAAATAATTTTTAAAACCTGGTTTTGGAAAGTTTCAAGGCTCTCTTAATCACTCTATCGGAAGCAGAAACCAACACTTCATTACAATAATTTAGGACTGGCTGTGTATACATTATATAAGTTGTACTTAAAGTTTCTCTGTTATGCACCATTTAACTCTGGCTAGTAGTGTAAGAATAGGGAGTCTTTTTTTTTTTTTTTTTTTTTCTTTTGTGATAACATGCTCAACAAATCCCCATCAAGTTAGCTTGTTGTCAAAGATGAAACCTAAGTAAGTTGAAAAATCATTAAATTGTGTATGTTTATCTTGAAAGACGAGTTTAAAAACAAAGAGTTGTTGATAAACTGTGAACAATTGGTTGGTAGTTATGTTTACCGACATATTGTCATCTCTGCACCAAACTTCCAGTTCTCCTGCAAGAACAGGTAATGACAATAATAATAATACTGCAGTAATTAATACTGATCATACAAATAAAGGAACTTTTTCTATAGTTATTCCATAAGAACACAAAGTTTAGATTCAAAATAACAATAAGCTTGAGTTTTATCTATTCCATAGAGCTACGCCAAAGGACTAGATAGTCTATATGTAGAACTTGTTTTGTCAAACCATCTGAGTCATCAAGTTAGGGAGGTCATTTATAAAAATACTAAACAGGATAGGGCTAACTATTGTGCCTTGTGGTTCATTTTGCTTAAATTTCGAAGTTTGATCTTCAAAACGAATTATGCAGAAGTGTTGAGACAGAAAATCTTTGATTTACCAGAGCATCTTGCCATAAGTGGCCTCAAAACCTACAAATAGAGCAAAGACAGTACATCAGCAATCGAGGGTACCTTTTAAAGATTAGCCGAGGAAGGCAACCTGTTGAGTAGTTGATTGGAATCTTCTAAAACCCACCTGGGTTGTAGATAAAAGATTACTATTCTCAATATATTAATTAAGATGGGAAACTGTCAATCTCTTCATGATTTTTGATAGAATGAAAGTAATGGAAACAGGCTGATAACTATTAAAATCATCTGGAGGTTTATTCCTTTTGAAAACTGGAATGGTGTTAGCTTATTTTTTCAAATAGCAGGTATTCTAGAATTCCAGCCATATTATTTTAAAAGCATAGAAAGTGCATTTTTGCCAAGATGTTTTAGAAATTCCGGGAAAAAGTTATCCAACAATCTTTTCATTTTTCGTTAGTCTAATGGCTGCGTTAAGTTGAAGTATGCCGAAATCACTATGGAAAATCTCATGTCTTGGTTTTTTGGGCTGGGAAGAAAAACATTCTTTAATTCACCTTCTGATGAGCTTCTGCTTTTCCTTAAGACATCCCATATAAAAATGTTATGAAAGTATAGTTGTGGTCCATGTCATATTCTAATAAAAGATTATTTATTTATAGTGAATGTCTGCAAAATTTTCCTCTAACCCAATATTTATGGATAACAAAATGGGTTCCAAAGTTTACTTCAAGGAATCCTCATTCACACTTGCAAAAAATGTGATCTAGTTGCCTTTTAAATTACACACAGATTGGAGATGGCAGCATACCACATACTAGTTCCAAATCTGTAAATAATTTTCACAATTCTAAAAGTTTCTGTGTTATTACTCTACTGTTGAGCAGAAACCATAGGAGTAACTAACAATAAATTAAAACATATTTTGTATTCTATGTGTAATATATGCTGTCCTTTGATGAATCATCACATTTGTCATAAAAAATTCTAGAGCACAGAGCATTGCATTAACAATGGTAATAGAGATCTGGAAGCAATGGTGCATTAAAATATGTACAGTACTCATTGAGCAAGTTAACTTTTTCTTCATATTTCTTTTTTCCTCCTCATCATAGCTTAAAAATTATTGTTTACTGGAATTATTGTGCCATTTAAGGATGCAGTGACCCAGTGTGATGAAAAAGGATACAAATTTTTAGGAAATTCAATTTTAGTGCAAGGCTGAATTAATTGGGATGGTAAGCTGTTCTGGCAGAGATGATAGAATTATAAAATGTTATCATCTCTCTTCGAATTGTACGGGTGAACTTAGGGTTTACAAGTTATGTAAATGCTGATAAACCCTAAACTCATCATAATAACAGTGAAAAGAAGTAGCAGCAAAAAAAATCCTGTACAGTTAATTTTTTGGTCATATGGTTCAGCTCTATGTTTGCATTTCTGTCACTGTCGATGATGCCATATGAAGTTTGTATATAAATATTTTACAGCAGATTTGCCTTCATTTTAAGCTACTAAATGGCAATATATATTTTATACATTCATAATATACCTAACTCTTTCAAAGCTGCTTGATGTTTTTAAGTTACATATCTAGTTTTTCAAATTACTTAAAATGTTCCAAAAAATATGACACATTTGCAGAAAGATTATCTCCATTTAGGAAAATCTACAGAATTCAAACCCCCGTTCTTCACTGGTCAATTGACCAGTATAGTATTAGGTCCTCCACCTTACCTGCCTTTTTTTTTCTCATAAATGATTTGTAGATTTCTTAGAAATTATTTATGTCTTGGTTGGAATTAATATGGAACTTGAAATAAAAAATAAACATCATCACTTAAAAGTGCTGCGTCTCTCTATATATGGTTACAAATTAACCACTGCTTATTTCTTATACAAGTAACTATGGGAAGTGAACTATGTTAATAATTTCTTTAAGAAATATAACTACAAAAAGAAAGGAAATACAGTAGAAGTCCAGAAATAGGATTTTAGGATTTTGTGGATTTCAGGGCAGAAAAGATAAATCATAATATTCAGACTAAAGGTGCAAAATAAATAAGGCATATTAGATACATTTAATTAAATTATTATATAAATTATTTCAATAACTTTTTATATGCATTAAATTATTATTACATATATAAATTGATCATATTGTTACATTTTCTTCTTCTGACACCAGTTGTTACATTATTTTCTTCCTTCACGTTTGTATGGGGTTCGTGTGGATTTGGAGTGAATAATGACAATAGCATTTAAATATCGAAACACACTTTATTTACCAATATTTATCAGGACAGCTCCAAAACACTTTTACAGTTGTCAAAGATCTACTATAAACACACTGTAGCAGTCAGCGACACAGCCTTCACACTGTCAGGTAATAACGGTGGAGACAGCTTCACTGCAAAGCATCAGAGTACAGCTCCCGACTCTGCTCGGTCGTTCTCGGAACTCCACATACTCTCGAGACTCTCCATGCTACAACTCGCAATGCACTCGATGACACACAGAGCACGGCTCTCAACTCTTTGGTTCAGTTATTCCCGGAACTCGACATGCTCTCTCGACAATGCACTATTCACGATACACTAAGAGACTCCTTCGGTGAACTCGACGACCCACTCGGCGCTCGCTGCCCCGCTGTCAACTCGATCAACTCGAGACACTAACTATCTCACACTCTCGAAGCACACACACACTGACTGACTATCAGCTCACCAGACGAGGTGCACACTCTGACTGCGGACCAGCAGGGTTTATATAGCTTTCGGCTTGTGTTCCAGAACATTCTGAGCTAAACCATTAAGAATTCGTTCCAGAAGGTTCTCCATCCGTCCATGGCATATCGCCAATTTTGTCGCCGAATAGGCGATTTCTTGTGAAATAAGGCAACCCTGCCCCCCTTGCTATTTTCTGGCAACCCTAAAGCTGCTTTGCGGGGAAGCCATCTTACTACGCTTGTACATTCCATAACAGTATTATTCATTGTATTATATATACACAGCATCGAGGTTTGCCAATTTCGCCTCATGCAAAGATTTCTGGTTTCGAATTCCGATGTTAGAATCACTGTTGCTGTAAAATTTCAACAGCTTTTCTTGATTTTTCCGTATATCACACACAATCGTATTGTTAGTCCATATGATTTTGCGATAAACGGATTCTGCTATAAAATGCACCTGTCTCCATCTTTTGCAGATTTTGCACTTTCTGCTACTGTCATGCAAGTGTTACGTGTTTCAGCATTGCAAGCAGTAAAATGATAGTGTGTTCTTACCTGTAAATGGTTAAAAAGGGCTGAAATTTAAAATATTCTTAATTTATCCACAATATCCCAGATAAAAAAAAAGGCAGCACTAAAATCTGTGAAAACAAAGATCAGAAAAAAAATGTGAATCGTGAACTGAAAGAAGAGTGAATCATCTGCTTCTTACCTCGATGCAGATTAGAGGGGGAAAACTTTTATCATGATGTCAATAATTTAGTATTTCCATTATGACTTATTATTATTCGGTAATTATGATGTCATTATTTGGTAAGTATTTTTTCTTCGATATCTTGTGTGCAATGTTGCGGTTTCCGGAACCAACGCCGATTTCAGGTCGGCGGATTTTCGGTATTTGACTGTACTTTGTTTTCTTCATTTGGTTTTATTTATTTGTAACCTGCTGTGCTTACTACATAATAGTAATTTATGGGGTGATGTTGCCAAGGGGATTATTAATGTTATTAGCACGTCTACAAATCTGATTTTGCTTTTACATTCATTATTAAATGCTTAAGCTGAATGAAGAGAAACTGCATTATAAAGTAGCTTTCATATGTAAAATTTGGAAAAGAACATTATCAATCCATTGCCTACTTTTTTTAAGTGATTATTATACTAAGTAAAACTTGTGCTTTGTTTAATTAATCGGCTGAAATAGATGAGTTTTAACTAAGACAGTTTTTTTCCTCCTTTTTATAGCTTGCCTTTGAGATTCTGGGTGAATCTTATAAAAAATCCCAATTTTGTATTTGATATATATAAAACAAATATTGTGGATTCATGTCTGTCTGTGGTAGCCCAGACATTTATGGATGCATGTTCAACATCGGAACATAGATTAGGGAAAGACTCTCCAAGCAGCAAACTTCTCTATGCCAAAGATATACCAATATATAAGGACTGGGTTGAAAGGTGAGTATGTAGAAAAATTTGTATGCATTTTTTTTAAATGGCTTTGTGCATGAAAGTGCTATTTTTTATACTGTCTTATTCTGTTTCTCTTCTCCATTTGTTGAATCAGTGTTCCAAATGTGTATTTGTTGCTAATACTTTTTTTTTTTTTCTTTCTATGAGTAATATGTCACTATGGGTGTGTTTTATATAAGCCCACGCATTTGAGTTTACTAGAATTTTTTTACTAAAAAGAACTAAAAACCGTTTGCCTGTGATCACTTTATGAATTCTGTTTTTTTGTTCATGAAATATTCTTGATTAGTCAGATTAGACAGCGCTGTTTCTTCTGTGTGTCATGTCAAGAATTGTATTCCTTCATATTTTGGTTGTTAACAGCACTGTGTCCTGTTCATTGGTTTAGACTAGGGATTCTCAACCGGTGGTATGCGTACCACTTGTGGTATGCAAGAGAAATAAAGTATTTTTAACTATTAAATTCAAAAATCTTGAGAAGAAAAAAGACAATTGATAGAAATTTCCTGTGATTGAACTCTAACTGAAGATTTAAAAAATAACAGACTGGTTAACTTTTGGCCGAACAGAAAAAACAATTTAATGGCATTTCAAATAAAGGTGTTAAATTCTAATTGCCTTTTTCCAAAACTTATTTGTGTGAACAAGGATTTTCTTCCATGCTGTATTTGAAAAATAAATACATAACAAAATTAAAAGTTAATCCTAATTTATGGTTAAAACTAAGTGTAATAAAACCAAACATAAAGAAACTGATCTTAGATTAAAGATACTTAGAATTATAACTTAAATTTTGATAATTAAAGTGGTAACCAATTTTTAATCGAATATTTTTTATGCATACATTTTTAATACAATTAGCCAACAGGTTGTGCAAATGGCAAAATATACTTTTTTTAATATTTTAGAAATTGAAAAATAATCATTGTTAAACGTAGTGTTGGTACTAAAGTTTTTCAGTTTTTGTTTAGATGGTACGCATTAGTCAAAATGTTGAGAACCACTAGTTTAGACCCCCCCTAGAAAATGTTTATAATTTGCCTAATTCTGAATTCACTTAAAAATGTTTAAAGTGCAACTGTAGGCTTTATAAACTTTTCTAACTGGTATAATTTAATTAAAACCACTACTGAACATTTAAATTATTCTAAGAAACTAGAAACTGTTCATAACTCATTTAAAAAAATGCAAAGTATAATTGAAAGGTAATGTTGTTAAAGTTTTGCTGTTTAATATTCGCATCAATACACCATTTCAGTCTCATGAAACTTTTTGTAAAGTTATTTTAAAACGGTGATTTTTAAAATTGTTTATTATTTTTGCTGTCTTTTTCTCATCCATTAAAAAAGTTAGAAAATATTTCTTATTATACTCAAATGTATATTTTGTTACGCACTGATATTAAAATTTTGTTAGAATTATTTATGCAAATAGTGTTAACAACCTTGTAAAATAAAATACTTGAAATAACGTCATCTTAAAATAAATTATTACAAATGTGCTTTTTATTTGCAACCATGTAATTAATTTTTACTAGGTATTATCAAGATATACAGCTGATGCCAGCAATAAGTGATCAGGACATGAATGCCATGCTCGCGGAAGAATCCAGGGTATTTAGATTACTGATGATTAATTTGTTTTTTTTTTGCTTGTGTTTTTCATAATTTTAAACTTAAAAAATAGTCTTTTCTATATTATTGTAAACAGCATAAAAATAATCAGGAAAAAATTGGTGTACTAATTAGTTAGATTTGGGTGACCTATATTATTCTATGTAAAGCTGAACCATGAACAAATCAAGTTTGAGCTGCATGACACCATTTTTAAGCAGACATTTTGCAGTAAATCAGACTTTATGTCATAGATCTCTACAATTATATGTAGATATAAGTTTAGTTTATTATTTGCTACTGCAAAATGTGTAAAGTTTCATTACAAAAGCTTTTTGTTTATGTTTAATGTTAATATGCATAATAGTAGTATGCTTAGCATTGAGAATACATAAATCCAAAAGTTTAAATTCACCGTCTGTCTAATAGGGAAATGTCATGAGCCACTTAAGACATTAAGTTCTTTTTTTAAATCTGTAAAATTTTTCGTAGTGCCACGTTTAAGTGGATTGACAGAAAATCAAACTTATCCTTCCAAAGGTAACTAAGGAATGTGTTTTCTGTGTAAATAAGCTGCTACAAAGTACACTGGTGTGCAAAAATTAAGGATGAGACGGTTTTTTCAATATAACTTTGTACAAAAGCTTTCCAAATCAACACATTTAATACCGTAAGATCCCCAAACGTAAGGACATGCGTAATGTAGGCAACACTTCTAAAAGAAAATCAGAGGGATAAAAAGAGCTTTATTGAAAAAGTACATGCAGCGCAATGCGACTTGAAGCCGAAACATCCCTGTGATGGGTGTCCAGCAAGAAACATCCGGTCTTTAATAGGGGATATGATCTCTCTTAACTGCTAGGCAGGTTTCACAGTGTCTGCCCATGCTGAGAATGAGGGTGTCACTGAGTTGTTGAGGTATTGCTGCCCATTCGTCTTGCAGCTCCAATCAAAGCTCCGGAATCATTACTGGTGGAAATGTACGAGCTGCCAAGCGTCTGCCTAGAAAATAGCCTGCCTAGACATGCTCGATGGGATTGAGATCCGGAGATCGTGCCGGCCAATCCATACGTTCAATATCCTCACTCTCTAAGAGCTGTTTGGCAGCTACTGTGTGATGATATGGTGCATTGTCGTCCATGAAAAGGAATGCGAACCCTAGCGCTCTAAAAAGACGCACTATGGAAAGAATCTCGTTACAATACGGGTCCCATTGACTGAACCTGTGGTCGAAGATGTGAAGGTCTGTACGACTACCAGCATGATGCCCTCCCCAAACGAGAACACCGCCACCTCCATACCTGTCCTTTCAATGATGTTCGAGGCTGATTGCGGCTTCCTCCCACTCTCTCCAGATGAGTATGCGGAGGAATCGCTACTCAGACGAATCTGCTCTCATCTGTAAAGAGTACTCGTCCCCATTCATTGTCTCTCCAATTCTAGTGTTCCGGCACCACAGAGAACGCCTTCTCGATGGGCAGGCATTAGAGGTACACACCGTACAGGGCGTCGTGCAAACAGCACCACCGTGCAGTCTTCTGGACGGCAAAACGAGATATGGTCGTTCAGTCGCCTGTGTCGTGTGTCTAGCGATTTCTCCCGCTGTCTGCCCCTTTTTCTTCTGGCCTGTAAGGCATATAAACGGTCATCTGCGGGGGTTCCTCATGGACGACCACTACTAAACTCCCGGATAGCTGTTCCTGTAGTTTGAAATTGTCTCCAAAGTCGTGAAACGATGCTGTGACCAATTATGAACTCTGCAGCCACACTTGTCACACTGCGGCCTTCCTCCAACTTCCCATGATTCGACCTCGGGTAAAACATCCAGGTCGTCTAACAGATTGATTATTCGCCATTCTTGCTGAGGCACAACTCGTGTGATTTTAACTGGTAATAAAAAACGGCGTGCAATTCTTTGCCGGAATACTGATCTTACACCGACAACATCTTTTACTACTCAGACACTCCCCCATTACCTCTACCTGCATATCTGCGCATGTGCTACTGTACATCACCGTACTTAATCTCCTGATTGGTCTTTCTGTTTGCTCTGCCTCTTCGTTCAGCTGATATGCTAATTTTTCAACTTCGTCCTTAATTTTTGCACACCAGTGTATTTGCACTTTCAAAGGATTACTTTGGTGACAGTTCCTTTTTCATAAGTATATAGCATTCTAAAGCAAAATTTGTGCTAATTGTTCGAGATTTGCAAGAATTAACCGTTCTCCTTTCTCCGAATAAACTTAAAATAAAATAACTTTACATATAAAATTCTACAGTGTCATATTTATTTTCAAAATCCATAGAACTACGAGAAACTACAACAAAGATCAGATGGTTGCCACTCTTACAGTGATAAACTATGGAAAGAAAAATAACAACTGAGGCTGGGTTCTAACAATACTCCCACCTTTTGATTGATGACATATACTTAATCAATCAAACAAAATATAATAAAAAATAATGTCCATTACAAATATTAAGGCTAAATAATAAACAAAAGAAAAAAATTAAGTTTTAAAAAATTCTACTCTAAAATAACTCAAGTAGTGTTCAGGTTAGAAATCTAGATGGAATTTTAATTTGTCGTCCACTTCTAGTCACGACAGTCTTAATGTCCTTTGATAAATCTGCAGCTGAATTATTCTTTGGTAATTTTGAGACTAAACTGTCTTCACCCTGCGTCTCAGTTTCATTTGCCTCATCTGACTCCAAAGATGAAGGTATTTCGAGAGGGAATATTCTCTGGATTGGTCGAACTAATTCTCCAGACATGGTTTTGACACGAACTACTCGAATGTGCCGTCTTTGTGGGATATAGTTCAATTACTTTTGCTAGAGGCCACAACACCACCTTGCGTTTGTCATCACATTCGATAAGAACTATATCCCCGATTTTTATCTGTTGAGAAATCGGCACTGTAGATGGACGTTGCACTAGCAGGCTGAGATATTCATTTCTAAATCTCTTTCTCAAGAGCTCTCGTAAATTCTGTAAATGTCTCAGTCTCTTGTTGAAATCAACTTTATCAAGATGATCCAAGTCAGGAACTCCAAAGACTGGAATTTCACCTAAAAACAAGGATGGTGTCAAAGGGATGAGATCATCTGAGTCCTCTGATACATAAGTGAGTGGTCTGGCATTCACAGTTGCTTCGCAGTCGCACAGCACACTCATCAATTCTTCATAATTCAGACATGACTGGCCTAGGACTCGACGCAAAAGCTTCTTAATCATTTGAACAAGTCGTTCCCAAAAGCCGCCATCCACCATGGTGCTGCGGGTGGACTGAACTTCCAATTCGATCTTGTTTGTGGCGGCTTCTATCTCAATGGTATTCCAATTAATCGATCTCAAGAGATTATTGGATCCGACAAAGTTGCTTCCCATATCGCTATAAATTATCGATGGCCTCCCTCTACGAGCAATAAATCTTCTAAGACCAAGTAAAAATCCCTTGAGTTGAAAGGGACAAAATCAGTTCCAAATGGACCGCCCTGAAAACAGCACATGTGAAAAGTAAAATCCAAGCTTTTCTTTTATCCTTCAAAATTAATGGGCCCAGCTAAATCAACGCCGACAATCTCGAAAACACGAGCCTCTCTAACTCTGTTTTCTGGTAGAGTAGCAGGCACAATCAGTCTGTAGTCGTTTACCTCCATGTCTCCTTGCACCCCTGACACATGCATATAAAGCTTTTCGAATCGTAGCTCTACTTTTCAGGATCCAAAACGTCTCTCTAAGTTTTGACATCAGTACGTGAATTCCTGCATGAGACATAGAGAGATGTTTATCAATTATCAATTTCGCCACAATCTTATGATTCTTCGGAAGTAACATAGGATAAATAAAATTTTCATGGTTTTTCCTTTCAGTCAACCTAGACCTGACACGTAAAATTCCTTCGTCATCTTTGAACACACTTATTGACTTCAGCTCCTTAATATCATCAGATGAAAAAGAATCATGTTGAATAATCTTCACGATAGATTTCTCAGCCCTTATCAATTCATAAACTTTTAACTCTCCTGATTCTCTTTCTTCTTTCCTCTTTCGGGTATTTCCTATGAATCTGTGTATCCACCCAATCATTCTAAGTATTTTCTTATACTTTGAAAAATAGCCCAAAGAATTGTGAAGACATATCGCTAACATTGCTTAACGAAAACTATAACTGCTTTACGTTTTTCAGTATTAACCTCTTCTTTATTATCGATTGGGATAGAACGAGGCCATTCTTCTTCCGGCAGTGCCAACCAAGGTGGGCCCTCCCACCATCTTGATTCAATGAGTTTCTTCACAGAACATCCTCTTGATGGCATATCGGCTGGGTTTTCCGCACCTGGTACATGATGCCAATTTTCACGATCCGATAGGATTCTAATTTCTGAAACTCTGTTATTCACAAAAGTGCTCCAAACTTCTACGTTCTTTATCCAGAACAGTGCTGTTGACGAATCGGTCCAGTAATATTCCTTTGAAATTTCGACCTTAAGGTTCTTCTTGACAAATGATGCTAATCGCACCCCAATAAGACAAGCAAGCAATTCAAGTCGTGGTATACTTATTTTTTTCAAGGGAGCCACTCGTGCTTTGGCTTGCACTAGGGTCACTTTGACTTCTTTATTTTGACTTCTCAAATATACTGCACTTGCATAAGATCCCTGTGAAGCATCGGCAAACGTATGCAAACTAAAAGATTGTCCTTCTGTCAATGAAAGTAGTCTGGGAATCTTCACAGAGGATAACAAGGGCAATTCTTTGACCCACTTTCAAGAATTTTCTTTTAATATCTTCAGGTAGCTCTGCATCCCAGCTCAATTTAGTTTCCCAGCTCTTTTGCAAGTATAACTTTGGAAGGAGTGTAAAAGGGCATGTGAAACCTATTGGGTCAAAAACTCTCTGTACAATCGATAGAACGTTTCGTCTTGTCACTGAGAAGATCAATCAAGTTGATATTAGGGATGTCACAAAACAAAGAATCTTCATATTTATCCCACAGAAGACCAAGTACTTTCAATGGTTCGCTCATTGTAGATTTTCCACTGTTCAGTTCTGTTTGCTCCCA